CCCAGATACTATATCTTTTGATAGCCGGGCACCATCAGCTTTCTTCACCACATTTGCTTATTCACCTGCTTTTTCCTCATCGGTTCTGTTGGGAAGGTGAACATCATAGAATGTGAATTAAATAGAAGAAAGTATTCTTGCATTGAGGGAGTACTTGAATGGAGGCCCAATGTCTATCTGCTACCTTAACACTATACCTATAAATATATGAACATAGATCTATTTCCCAATCGTCATATATAAATATATTTACATATGTACATGACTGTAGTTAGACCTCTATAAATGCCCCTTGCCTCCTAATTCTTTCATCTATTTCCTTTGACTTTCCTCTTGTCCCACTATCATGCTCAGCCTTCATTTGGGTTTCAGTGATTCCTCTCGGTTATATTGCCCTTGTTCAATCCCTACTAGGCCTCTTACACCCTCCTTGCCACTGATTTTGGGTCACTTGTTGTTCCCGTGTCCCTGGGTTTGTTAACACCACTTTCTGTCCCCCACTTCCCCCTCTCCCATGTACCCATGGAACCGTTGGTCCCGTTGTTTATACAGATTGTTTATTCAGCCTATCTTATCTAGATATACCTGCAGAGATAATAATATGCACGTAAAAACAAAACATAGCAAAACAAAGCAACAAAAGAAAACAAAGCAATGACAACAACCAAAAAAAAAAACAACCCTGTAAATAGTTCAAAGTCTGTTTGTTGACCTTTAGAAGTGTTTTCCGGTCAAGTCTGATGGGATGCCATGCCCTGGCCCCAAAGTCTATTTTTGGTACTCCCTCGGGACTTCCTTGCTCTGCTCCCCTTGCTGTTCTGTTGCAGGCCCTTAGTGTTTTGCCTCTGAGTGGTGGGGTCAAACCAGGTGCAATTCCCACACTGTGTCTCTGGTGTTGTCCCCTGTAGGGCTATGGGTCAGTGAGGGAGGGACAGTAAATATATTAATAGTTCTTTTTCTTTAGAACTATGACAAGAGAGGTTGGGGGCTAATGAGGAGTGTAGAAGTTAGATTTTTATGTCAACTTGAACTTGTGTGAAAGTGTAGGGGTGGAGTCCAACCTGTCGATCAGATGGTAATCTGGTGATACCTTCTTGAGGATGTGGCCCTTTTATAAGACAGAGAGTGAGAACCTCTCACTATGTGTGTCCCTTCACACTCCCTTCTTGCTGGGACTCTGTGCCTGCCTCCGGGGGTGGCCCCATGTGGGCCACTGACCCTGGGAGCCAACCTGGGAGCTGTTGACACCCTGCCATGTTCTCATCGACTTTGGATCAACAACCTGCACCCACTGGCCAGTGAGCTCATTGCTTACTACTTCACCTTTCTGTGTCATTAGCCTACAGCAATGTGAGTCTGAAGAGGGCTCTGGCTACCATTGGACCCATAGGCTTGAATTGGACTGGGCAGAGATGCCTTCTGGTTATGAAATTACTTCTTGATAAAAAGGTCTTTCTTGCACATATATGAATTCCATTAGTTTTGTTTCTCTATACAACTCAGCCTGAAAATGTTCTAAAATTGATTATCATGATGGCTGCACAACTCTTGTGTTCTTTTTAATATATTTAAACCATTAAATTGTAAAGTAAATAAAGTATATGTCAAACAAACTGTTTTCAAAAGAATGGAGGGTTAAAACAAAATGGAAGGTGAAGACACGGTAGAGAGTGTAAGGTAGACATAAGATGGAGAATGAATTAAAAATACAGGCAGCAAAAATGATGTAGGATGGGCACAAGATCAAAGGCGGAAGTTGGAAAAGATGGAGGATGGATACATAATGGGAATGGAGTCAGGATGAAGGAAGGACCAAGAGTGGAGGAAAGATGAAAGCTGGAGAGTGGAGATGAGCTGGAGGGAGGAGACATGGTGGAGGACAGAGATGGAGGAAAGTTAGAGAACATAGAAACTATTGAAGAGGGATCCCAAATGGAGTGTGGAAACACGATGGAGGGAGGATACAAAATGAAGGGTGGAAACGAGATGGAGGATGGAGACATTAAGAAGATGGCATGGTGGGAACAGCATGGAGGAGTGAAACCAAATGGAAGAAGAAGGGTAGCGACAACATGGAGGATGGAGCCAACATGAAGGAAGGTGATGGAAACAAAAGGTGGAGTATGGAAAACAGGTAGACTGGGGAGTGGAGACAAGATGAGGAATGGGTACAAAATTATCAGCTAGTGTTCTCATATTATTTCTCATTTCAATAGCGCATTAGGCTATTGAAAATACTATAACTTGGGTCAGGCACACCTCAGCCCTCAAGAGGACATATTTTTAACACTTTAAAGAAGACTTCTGCCGCAGATTTACCCAGTGCAACATATCCTTTCATTTCTTGAGGTCTGCTCCTTAATGGTTGTGAGTCGGAGTAAACTAAAATCCTTGAAAACTTCATTTATCCTGTTATTGCATATTGGCTCCATTGTGAGGATTTGTTTTCTTTTTGTTGGTGTATAATCGGTACTGCAGGCTCTGTCTTGTGATGGTTACAGTCCTTGAAATTCTCTTCACTTTCAGCAAACAAGGTGATATCACCTGCAGATTATTGATATTCATCATAGTGCCATGCATATAAATATATATGTTGATATTATTAGCTACCCAGGAGCCCTGGTGGTGTGGTGATTACAAAGAGTTGAACCACATGGCTGGCAGTTCGAAACCACCAGCAGCTCTGATAGACAGAGACTGGGCTTTCTACTCCTGTAAGCAGTTACAGTCTCAAAAGCCCACAAGGGGTCGCTATGAGTCAGCGTTGGCTCAATGGCAGCAGGAGTTATTATTAGCTATATTTGAGCCTGTGCTTGACTCATAGAAGCCTCATATATGATAGGATCAATATATTGTGATTGATAGGGTTTTCATGGGATGATTTCACTAGTTTCTTTCATCTCTTTCTAGTTCATCTCCCTCTAGAAACTCTACTGAAAATTGTTCGAGATCATGGCAACATGCAAAGTTCCGGTGATGAAAAACTTATGTCTGCAAATGAGATACATTTGTCAGGAATTGAAATTGGCTTTAGCATTTGGATGGTGAGAATTCTACAACTGAATTCTACAACTGTATAATATGTATCTAACATATACATATTATACAACATATGATTCTGCATAATATGTATTAAATTCTATATAATATGATTCAACAATTCACAAATGGTTATAGCTGTACATTTATATAGAACTGAGAGAACTTCAAGCCAGATTCTGAAAACGTAGAAGGAGGCAGATCATTGCTGCCAGAAGATGCGTATTGGCTGAAAGTGGAAATCCCAGAAGCATGTTTAGCTCTGTTCTGTTGTCTATGCAAAGGCACTCAATTCTGTGGGTAATAAAAAATTACAGATAGCACTGCAAATCATGTGGATTACAAAACACTTAATGGTGCTCACTTGGAACCCATGCATAGTCCAAAAGGCAGTCATTCAAACAGAACAAGGGGATATTGTCCAATTTAGAATCAGGAATAGTGGTTGTTTCCTTTCACTATATGTATTCAACCTGTATGCTGAGCCAATGATCCGAGGAACTGGACTGCAGGAAAAACACAGTCTTACAATTGGAGGAGGACTCATTGATATGCAGATGTCACAACCTGGCTTGCTGAAAGCAAAGAGGATTGGATACACTTACTGATAAAGATCAGTTCCTCCTAATAATATGTCCAAACAATATAAGACAAAGTCTCCGTGTCTTTGCTTCTAAGGAGCATCCTGACAGTACTTCTTCCAGCACAAAATTGTTCATTCTTCTGGTAGTCCATGGTATACTCAATTTTCCTCACAACATCAAAATTCAAATGATTCTCCAGTCTTCCTTGTTATCTCACATTAACTTATTCTTATGTTGATAAATGATTCATTTTCCACCATTTAGAGGTTTTAGCCTACGAAAATGATGATGCAAGTCAACTGCCAAACAGCAAATTAAGATTAATATATGGAATGAATTTGTGGTGCAGTGATGAAGTGCTCGACTGCGAACTACAAAAGGTCCAATGTTGGAACCCATCATCTGCTCGTGTGAGAAAGGTGTGGCAGGCAGCTGCTTCCCGAAATATCTACAGCTTTGGAAACCCTATGGGGAAATTGCACTCCTTTAGTCACTCGGAATCAGAATTGGCTCAATGGAAATTGATACTCTGCTTTTGCTTTGTTTGGGGGCTAATGCACACAGGCTATTCCAGACAAAAATACCCCCTGTTTATTCAGTATTCTACCCCCATTCATTTAAATGTTACAATACACTGAAGAAGGCACCCTGGTGGTTCAGATGATTAAACACGCAGTTGCTTGCTGAAAGGTTGATATTTTCTTGGGCAACTAACCACAAGGTCAGCAGTTGAAAACCACCAGCTGCTGCACAGGACAAAGATGAGGCTTTGCATGCCTATAAAGCAGGAGTGTCAAACTGGTGGCCCACGGGCCGCAGGCGGCCCCTGAGGTAATTTTTTTTGGCCCACGATGTTCTTTGCAGGTTGAGATAAACTGTTAAGAAGAGACTGAGGTGCCATAAAATCATTTGTCTGGTCAATAATTGAGGAGATTAACAAATTAGACGTAAAATCAAACATTCAAATGAGTTTTATTATGAAAACTTCTGCTGATATTTCAGCTCTCTCAAGATAATATATATCCCTACCAATAATAATTATTGGAGTCATTTATTTCCGTAGTGAGCCATATGTCCTTCCTGCACCATTGGTCATTTTTTCCACAGATTCTTCATGGCATTTTTGACCTCTGCATTTCTCAGGGTGTAAATCAAGGGGTTAAACATAGGTGTGAGAATACAATAAAACACAGCCACAATTTTGTCCATGGATAAAGTCTTCGATGGCCGCATATAAATAAATATACAGGGAACAAAGAATAAGGCGACAACAGTGAAGTGGGCCCCACAGGTAGAGAGGGCTTTGCGCCTCCCCTCTGCACTGTGGGACCTCAGGGAGCGCAGGATGACAATGTAGGAGGCAGCCAACATCAGGAAGTTCAGGAGGCAGATCACACCACTGTTGGCGACCACCAGCACCCCAATGATATATGTGTTGGTGCAGGCGAGTTCCAACAAGGGGTATAAGTCACAGACAAAGTGGTTGATCACATTGGGTCCACAGAAAGGCAACTGAAGGACAAGGAGGAGCTGAACCACTGAATGCAGAAAGCCCCCGAACCAGGCTATCGCAACAAGTACAGCACAGAGATGCCTGGTCATGATGGTTGTGTAGTGCAGGGGCTTACAAATGGCCACATATCTGTCAAAGGCCATTACTGTAAGCAGAATGATTTCAGTTCCTCCCAATAAATGGGCTACAAAGAATTGAGCCAGACAGCCTTCAAAGGAGATGGCTCTCCCCTCATACATGGAATCCACAATCAGTTTGGGAGTCATACATGAGGAATAGCAAGTATCAATTAAGGACAAATATGCCAGGAAAAAGTACATAGGGGAGCCCAACGTGGAGCTGAAGATAATGGTGATCATGATCAGTAGGTTGCCTCCAACAGAGACCAGGTAGACAATCATAAAGAGCACAAACAAAATCCTCTGCACCTTAGGATTTTGGGAGAGTCCCAGCATAAAGAATTCTGTGATGTTTCTTGGACTATCCATGAGTTCTGGGCTGCAGCAAGAAGTTGGGTATAAAGAAAGTGATCTAGAGAACCAAGAAAATGTTGTTACTATCGCAAATAAACCAAAAAACCCTTATTTTTCTGTTTTTATTTCTTGTTCATTGTCAACAGGAATTTAACACATGATCATAAGAGTTGTTGCATACAATATTGTATTCTGATTTTTACATACCATTATGTCATAAGAATTTTCCATAATGCTTTCCATGTTGTTTGTAGTCTTCCAAACTTCATTTTTGATATGATTTATTCATGGACTACCAAATGTTGTTAAATATTTAGTTTATTTCAAAATATTTGCTACATCAGAAATTCTTCTTTGAATTAGAACACTTTATGATAAATCAGTCTCAAAAGCACAAATATTGCATTATCCCACTTATATGAAATATGTTGAATAGGCCAGTTTATTGGTGGTTATTGGGGGAAAGTGAAAGGAAGAATCTGATACTTCTGTTAAAGGTGATTATATAATTTGGGAACAGGTAAGAGTGATGAGCAGCCTAATGAGCATAATTAATGTCACTGAACTACACATGCAAAGATTGGTGAAATGCCAAATGTTTTGTTACATGTCCCTGTATGTGTGTTTGTTGTTTGTTATGTCATGATGATGAACAAATTTACAGTTATCAAGCGTTTATTTTATTTGGTCCATAGTCAACACCCATAAAAGCAGCAATCAAGAAATCAAATGTTGTGTCACATTGAGCAAATCTTCTGCAAATCTCTAACATTTTCAAAAGCAAAGATGCCACTTTGAGAACTTAGGTGCACCTGACCCAAGTCCCAGTATTTCCAATCACCTCTTATGCAAGTGAAAACTGAACAATGAATAGGAAAGACCAAAGAATTGATGCCTTTGAATTATGGGTTGGCAAAGTACAATGAATATTCCAAAGATCCCTAGAAAAACAAACAAGTCTATCTTGCAATAAGTACACCCAGAAGGACTCTGAGAAGTGAGGATGGGCAGACTGTGTCTCCTGTACGTTGGACATGTTATCCAGAGGGGTATGTCCCCAGAGAAGGGCATGCTTGGTAAAGTAGAAGGTCTGTGACAGAGTAAACCCCTCAATTAGATGGATTAGCACAGTGGTTTCAACAGTCGGCTCAAACAGAAGCAACAATTGTGAGGCTGACATAAGACCAGGCAGTGTTCTGTTCTGTTCTGTCATACATAACAACAACAAAACCTCATTGCCTCCAAGTCACAGCAACCTTACAGCACAAAATAGAGCTGCCCCGGTGGGTTTCTGAGACTGTAACTCTATTTTTGTTTTTCAACTCACGTCAAAAGCTTTATTTACGTGAATGATTTTTTCAGTTTTAACCATCTATTCGTTACCATGGAAACACTAAACAGTGACTTCACATTTATTACTTTGTTCTCATAAACTTTGAAATCACTGATGGCTTTTTAATTAACTATTAACATGAATTCTAAGTCACAACAGTTCTAAATCCTCAAAGATTACTTTTACATAGCTTTCCCTAGAAACACTCACTAAATACTCACTCCTGTTATCCATATATTCATTATCTTTCTCAAACTCTCAAACTCACTGCCAGTGAGTCAATTCTGACTCTTGTCTTTATGGAAATAGAAAAACCTCATTTTTGTCCCACAAAGTGGCTAGTGGTTTCCAACCGCTGACTTTGTGGTTAGCAGCCCAATGCATATCCCACTACACCACCAGGGCTCTTTCTGTTGCACATAGAGTTATTCTAAGAAGAGTTTCTATAAGTTATATGGAGGAGGACCACAAAATTCAAGGTACTTGTAGTGGCTGAGAACCCAGACCTTGACCCCAGCCAAACTCCATGTGTTTTGTCTTTTGTTTGGGTTTTTTGTTTGTTTGTTTTTGTAAGATCATTTTCTTGGGGGCTCTTATGGCTCTTATAACAATCCATACATCAATTGTCTTAAACACTGCAGTCTGCTTTCCTTCTGCTTATCGTTAATCTCAAGGGAAATAACTCATACCCATTGTTTTGATACATGTTTGTAGAGGGGCTTGAGAAATGCTACAGTTTAACTAGATAAAGAAAGGAAGGGATTTATTAGCAGATTATAACTGCAAATATTGAAATGACGATTGTTTAGATAATGTTCTAGGAAAGAGACCCTGTAAATGTTTATAAAAGTTAAGAGTCTAGTGGGTAGCGGGGGAACAGGGCACTAACCCACCCAAGGGGAGGGTATTATTTATGTCTCCAAAGGGAGAGAGGGACCAGACTTCAACCCGGTGCTCCAAGATGTGAGTACAACATACCAGCATGAAGCAGGGAACGAATAGAGAGGTCTAAGGGGCTGGCCCCGATCCCAATTACATGGACAGCGCCGCTGCCCCCCAGAAGAATTTCCTTCAGAGGACAGCACTGAAGCTACAGCTCAGGGAGAGGGACATGTCTGATCAGAGCACACAGGAGCAAATGAAGGGAGGGGAAGAGAGAGGCGAGCACATCCTGGCCCACCAAGCCTTGAGTACGATGTCCCTGCTCAGTGCAGCCAACGCACAGAGAGGACCATATGAGCCCCACTACGAGACATGACATCCCTCACTGACCCATACCCCTACAGGGGACAACACTGGAGACACAGTGTGGGAATTGTGCCCAATCTGACCCCACCACACCGAGGCAAAACATTAAGGGCATGCAACAGAACAGCAAGAGGACCAGAGCAAGGAAAATAGACTTTGGGGCCAGGGCATGGCAGCCCAGCAGATTCAACCTGAAAATACTCCTAAAGGTCAACAAACTGACCTTGAACTATTTACAGGCTTTTCTCTTTTTTTGTCATTGGTTTGTTGTTGTTGGTGGTGGTGTTTTGTTTTGTTGCTTTGTTTTGCTCTGTCTTGTTTTTTGTGCATATTATTATCTCTGCAGGTCTATCTAGATAAGATAGGCTGGATAAACAATGTGGAGGAGAAAACAATGGGGCTGACACTTCTGGAAGGACATGGGAGAGGGGGAGGCAGGGGAAAGTAAGTGGGTGTTACCAAACCCAAGGAAAAGTTAACAACAAGTGATCCAAAATAGATGGCAAGGGGAGGGTAGGTGGCCTGGTAGGGTATGATCAGCTCTTTCTCCTCTAGAGCCACTGAATGGGTTTGAACCACCAATCATTTAGTTACCAACCAAGTACTCAACCACTGTCCACAAGGACTCCTTACATATGATGGACTTCAAAATATTTATGGAAATTTTTCTGTTATCTTTTTATTCCTTTGTTCCATGAATTTGATAGCCATTTTGGAATCTCAGGGTCAAATGGTGGCAGGATTATGCCATCAGATCCAGAGACTGAATGTTCCCATGCAAGTTAGCAAGACTCCTAGCCATTATCAATTGGACTAAAATGATTTTGAATTATTTCTTTCCCTCAGCTATGCCACCACCTTTACCACCAGTTTCCATGATGATTCTGACTCATAGTTCTCCCCTGTGGGCCAGAGTACAACTGTGCTCCATTGATTTCAATGACTGATTTTTTACCACCTCTAACAAGGAAAAGGAACCTTGGTGGTTAATATACTTAATACATGATCACAAACATTACTTTCCTTAATGTCAAAAATAGGAAGTAATGATTTAGGGAGTCCCTTGCAGCCCATAAATGCATGAACTCTCTTACTCAGTTTTTGACTGGTTTCTTATGATTGTGGGAAATTTCCAGGTCAGAGAAGAAATTATGAATCTATAGATTTTTCTCACTGCATTTTTTTAACCTGGAGGAACTCTTTTTAATCTGAAATAGGTATTTAGCACATGCACCAATCAAGAGAATGATGTGGACTAATGATGGAGGAGGATGGAGAGATGGCATATTAAGAATCTTGGTGGTTCTGTAAGTCTGCCATGTTAGCACTTAATAAAAATTCTGGTAAGAAGCTATAAACCTCTTTAGACCCAGCCATTGTAACTTTTCTATACTTTCTGATTTAATTTTTATTTATTCAACAAATGCTCATTGGAACCTGTTTGAGATCTGTGTGGAAAAACAGATATTAAACACTTGGGATTATTGTTTTCAAGATACTGCCAGTGTGGCGTGGAGGGAGAACAAAAGAATATGGTGGGTAAAGTGTTGTGGTGGTGAAGAAATCTGGCTGTAGAAATACATAGCCAGGCCTTTTAATCTAGCCTGGTGAAAGGACGTCACTGCTTAGTACCCTGTTTCCCCGAA